GGATAATGAGAAATAAAGAATTACCTGACCACCCAGGAATATGTGTACATGTGAGGGGATATTTATTAATACTGTATTTCTTTAAAAAAGAATTCTTGTAACCATAAAATAGGTTTAGAACACATGGAAAATATGATAATTGATTTTAAATCTATGTGAGAAATCATTTAGGAGGAGGGAAAAGAATGTACCGGAAATCTGGGGTAGAATAATGATGGTAACTTTAGATCTAAGCTAAATTGCTAGATTTCCTGGGCCAAAAAAAAAAAAAAAAAAAAAAAGGCAAGGGTTATATAGTTCATATATTATTAGATTAAAAGAAGCAAACTTATCTGGAGAGGACTATTAATACAGAATTCTATGATAACTTTAGTATTTGCATCCTCATAAAATGTACAATGGATATGGATATGACAACCTCTTAACCCTTTAAATGCAATTTTGAAGACGACATAGTAACCTTTTAAAATTATCAATCCCTGATAAAGACAAGGGCGTGACATTAACAAGTCACTGGTGAAGGCATTTTTGCAGCCTTCTTATTTACTGTGATTCAGGTGACTTGCTGAAGTTCAGCTTCCCGAAGTTCAAATTTTAAATGTTAATAAAACATAGGGAACCTAAACGAACATATGGCTGTTTGTCCCTTAGGCTGCAGTGCTCACACATGTTATTTCAACTTGACTTTTGTCAAGGCCAGTGTGACAGGTATTTAAAGGCCTCATAGTCTGGGGTCATTGATTCAGGATAATCACATTGTTTTTATGCTGGAGGTTCCCAGCCTTTAGTGTGCTTGGGAATTTCAAAGGATGCTCATTTAAAATATATATTCCTGGGCACCTGGGTGGTTCAGTTGGTTAAGAGTCTGCCTTCAGCTCAGGTCATGATCCCAGAGGCCTGGGATGAGCCCTGCATCAGGCTCCTTGCTCCTCAGGGAGCCTGCTTCTCTCTCTGCCCCTCCCCTCTGCCTGTGCACTCCCTCTCTCTCTCATGCTCTCTCTCACATAAGTAAATAAAATCTTTTTTAAAAAATAAAATACATATTCCAAAGCCCCACCCCTGAGAGATTCTGACTTAGTTCATCTAAAATGGGTCCCAGAAATCTGCATTTTAATAGGCACTCCAAGTGATCTTGAGGCAGGTGGTCCTCATGTCACATTTAGAGAAACAGTGTTAGAAGTCAGATGAGTTTATGTCAAAGTTATGAAAACTGAGGAGTGTTACTTGTATTTTTACCTCTGAATGCAATGGAGCAAAGGGTTGCCTTTGGGTACACCAAAATATTTCTCAAAAAGAACTTTTTATCTGCTTTTGTTTGGAGAAGTACCAAGAATCCAAAGTTTGTTTCATATAGCATGCATTTTTTTTTTTCTTCTTGAGATGTATGGTCACTGTCTTACTCAGCTTGGGCTGTCAACAAAGTACCATAGACTGGTTTAAACAACAGAAGTGTTTTTTCCTCACAGTTCTGGAGGTCAGAAGTCTGAGATCATGGTGCCAGTGTGGTCAGGTTCTAGTGAGAGTTCTCTCTTCCTGGCTTGCAGGTGGCTCTTTTTTGCTGGGTCTTCACCTCGTGGAGTGGGGGTGGGGTGGGGGGCTTGAGGTGGGGGGAGAGATAGGGAAGGAAAGGACATGAGAACTCTCTACTGTTTCTTCTTACAAGTGCACTGATCCCATCATGAGGGCTCTACCTGCATAACCTCATCTAATCATAATTGCCTCCTAACCTCCCAAAGGCTCATCCCCAGATGCCATCACATTGGGAGTTAGGGCTTAAACATATGAATTTGTGGGGGGACAGAGTTTAGTCCACAGCAGACAGATATTACCAGGCATCCATATCAGCCTGAGCTTGCACGGGGACTTGTTGAGCAGCTGGTTTAGGTCAGTGGTACTCCAATGCTCTTATAAGAAAGAAGGCCCTGTGCAATGGACCCTTGTAGTGCTGAATGAGTCAACCCACTGGATGGGGATCTGAAGGTAAGAAAATGTCTGGCAAAATGATTTTAATGTTAGTATTACTAAAGCGAGGCATCCTCTCCCTTTCACCCTCATTCCTACCTTATTTCTCATGCTAGCGGAGATGCACTGTCAAGACTAGCTAAGATTGGCGCCATGTTTATGAATTGTGGACAAGTTAAATTCAATGTGACTCATACCATTCTATCATTCCAGATTAATGAAGGTCGTTTTACCTAATCCTGTAAGGAAAGTGTTTTTTTTAAGGCACTTCCTACATAGATTCACCATGAAGATACATTAGATCAGCTCTTTAATTTTGAAAAAGCTGTATAATTTTTTCTAATTCAGAAATTGACTTCACACTTAACTCAGTGTTAGAATCTTTTAAAGAAAAAATCAAAATGACTCATGTGACATGTGTTGTGTAGTACTAAAATCCCACATTTCAGCTCAAATACACAATATGGAGATATTCTGAAAGAGAAAGAGATACTAAGAAAAAACTTTGAAATATTAAGAAATGCAAAGAAAAATTCATTAAAAAATCATATTCCTGTATTTTTCAAATCACACTCTTTGGGGAGAAAAGGTGGGGTTTTTATAAGTGATTTTTGTTGTAGATAGCAGTCATTAGATAAAGAGCCCTTTCCATTAAGATGTGACACTTTAATAATGAGTTTATTTCCCCAAAGATAATGTATCTGAGTATAGATTGGAATTCTTCAGACATGTATACTCTGCAGACACCTTCTGTGGTTATAGAAAATGTCAATATATTATCACTGGTAAGCATAAAATTCATCTTTTATGCCATATGGAAATTCTAACCATTTGAAGAGTTCCAGTTTGTAGACTCATAGTAAAAATATTAACCCAAAAAAGTCAGTTCCATTAGGAGTAACAAAACATACTCACCTACCACAGTAACAGTATTTACCAGATTTGTTTAAAGCCCTGTCATAGAGTTTGGTCTTGAAACAAAGTTCTCTTCTATGCAATTCAGTGAATGCTATTTCCCAGTTCTTCTTTTTTTTTTTTTAAAGGATTTATTTATTTATTTATTTGACAGAGAGAGATGGCGTGAGAGGGAACATAAGCAGGGGGAGCGGGAGAGGGAGAAGCAGGCTTCCCACTGAGCAGGGAGCCTGACACGGGGCTCCATCCCACGACCCCAGGATCATGGCCCGAGCTGAAGGCAGACGCTTAATGACTGAGCCACCCAGGCATCCATGATGAATTTTATTTTTAATAAAAATATGCAAACTGTGGTTAAAAGTATTCAAAATGTGCAAAAGGGTATAAGTGAAGAGCAAAAATCTCCCTTCTCCTCTGGCTCCTCAGTTCTACTGCTCAGAGCCCAGGTATAACTACAATTAAAAGCCTCTTGTGTTGCTTTCTGGAAATTGCTACAAACATATGTATGTGTGTGCATACATGTGTGTACCTATATATGTATGTATATAAAGTTGTGTATACATATAAATGCTATATTTATTTAATTTTTAAAAAGTTGATCACCTGACACTAGTTGAGCAGTTAGGATGGGGTGCCAGTCTAGCACTGTCGCCCTTGGAGTTAACATGCCTCTCTGGACCTCTTTGGTTATCACCTCTGAAGACCCAGGTTTGCCTGGCCATGTTCCCTTGGTCTCCATGTGAGAAACCTCTGCCAGTGCCTTCTGTACTCCTCTCTTGGTTTGAGGTCAACAGAGGTGAGAATTGAGTGGGGGCTAGTAACTGCCTCTGACTTCTGCTCCCAGACCCCCAGGGAGAAGGACAGTGTCTTCTCTAGCATAGTTTTCAGCCCCTGACTCTGTGAATATTGTTTTATCAATGGTGGAAAGTATTTCTGGAATATATATCATAGAAGGAAAACATTTTTCTCCCCCAGCCATTCACTTTTAACTTGTCACTATTATTCGCTTCAGGAGTCGGTAATGTAAAAAGAGCTTTATCTGGTATTTTGGTTGCAGCTCATACACAAAACAAAAATCACAGATATTTTAAAGGAGCTTATCTTAAGCATTGCAGTCAGCAAGAATGTTAGAACTGGCTAAGGGTAAAGATGCAGATTTGTATTTATAATAACAGCAGTTTAAATAGTAAAAGTAATCACAATGTTAAAAAGAAGTAATCATAGTGTTAAAAATTATGTTGTTTATTTAGCATCATTTTTCAAAGACTCAGAACTTCTAAAAAAGCTTTTTGTTCATGTGCTCATGAGGAAACTCTGGAGCACTTTGTAAATTTCCACTTTACATCTGGGGTAAGGAAGTCCAAAGAAATGAATTTACTCACCATCAATTAAAATGTGAACCTGAATCACTGTACACATCAATTAATGACATCACTTTCATAATGCAACTAAATCTCAATGAATGTGGTTGGTATTAGGTACATTGTTCTGGATATACAGTTAGTGTCCAGTTGCTTTATTCATAAAATAATAGTGATTTTTTTTTTTTTTAGAGAAGGGGAGGGGCAGAGGATGAGAGCGAGAAAGGGAGAGAGAGAATCTTAAGCAGGCTCCTCGCCCAGTGTGGAGCCGGATGTGGGGCTTTGGGCTTGATCTCACAACCCTGAGATCATGACCTGAGCCGAAATCAAGAGTCAGAGGCTTAACTGACTGAGCCACCCAGGCACCCCAATAATAGTGATTTTTCAACCATAAATCATACTATATCCTTTTACTTCAAAGAGGCAATTATATAATATTGGTAATTAAACAATTCTTATCACAAAGTCACAGTTATTTTCAAGCAAGTAAGTTGGGTTTTTTGGGGGGGGGAGGCAAGATACCCTCAAGAGGAAAAGATAACAAGGGTAAGATCCTGAAAGATCCTTGGCCTAAATCCTAGGCTTTCCGCCCCCCCGTCAATTATTTTATTTAGTTAAAAATATGCAATGATTTGAGAGGATTCTTCTGGCCTAATTCTTAAAAAATTTGCTTTCTTTAGCCTTAAATCCTAGTGCTTTGGTGCCAAGAAAGTGCTAGACCTCTATTTTCAAGACTTTTAAGACTAGTATGCTAATTTATACAAGGTCCAGTGAGTTCCATCTATACCAGGGCCGCAAGGGAAGCATGGATGTCTAGACCTTGTTTATATTATGATTTCTTCCAAATGCCATTTTCTTTTGAACAGGAACCCCTGTTCTGATAGGCTACCGGCTCCTGTCTGGGTTCAAGCAGCCGGTATTAGGTACAGGTGTAAATTTCAGGTGCGTTGTTTAGCAACTGACCCAGCTGCCCGCGGGCCACAGGTCTGCTGTAGGTGCTGTGTACTTGGAAAGGGCTGGATCTGTGGGAGGAAGCAATACGTCCTAATAGTCTACAGGTGTTTTTCATTAATGCTGATTAGGTCCATGGAGGGAAGCCCATCTCTGAGGCGCAAGACGGTGATGCGGGAGAAGGGCCGGCGCCAGGCGGTCCGGGGCCCGGCTTTCATGTTCAATGACCGGGGCACTAGCCTCACTGCCGAGGAGGAGCGCTTCCTCGACGCTGCGGAGTATGGCAACATCCCTGTGGTGCGCAAGATGCTAGAGGAGTCCAAGACGCTGAACGTCAACTGCGTGGACTACATGGGCCAGAACGCGCTGCAGCTGGCCGTGGGCAACGAGCACCTGGAGGTGACAGAGCTGTTGCTCAAGAAGGAGAACCTGGCGCGAATCGGCGACGCCCTGCTCCTTGCCATCAGCAAGGGCTACGTGCGCATCGTGGAAGCCATCCTCAACCACCCCGGCTTCGCGGCCAGCAAGCGCCTGACCCTGAGCCCCTGTGAGCAGGAGCTGCAGGACGACGACTTCTACGCCTACGACGAGGACGGCACGCGCTTCTCGCCCGACATCACGCCCATCATCCTGGCGGCGCACTGCCAGAAGTACGAGGTGGTACACATGCTGCTGATGAAGGGCGCCAGGATCGAGCGGCCACACGACTATTTCTGCAAGTGCGGAGACTGCATGGAGAAGCAGAGGCACGACTCTTTCAGCCACTCACGCTCGAGGATCAATGCCTACAAGGGTCTGGCCAGCCCGGCGTACCTGTCCTTGTCTAGCGAGGACCCGGTGCTCACCGCCCTGGAGCTCAGCAACGAGCTGGCCAAGCTGGCCAACATAGAGAAGGAGTTCAAGGTAAGCTCCGCGCTCCACCCCGGCTACCCTGCACGCTCATCCACTTTCCTACTGCCGCCTGGTGCCTTACAGAGTTTGCTCTGGAATCAGTTTTGCCCAGCGGATTTAAAATCACCAGATATTGGAAATGTTGTTCAGAAATGATTTCCCCCTCTCAGCATGGTGCTGTGATAAATTCGCTTTGGGGTTGGGTATATACTGGATTAGAGAGCTATAGTTATGGTGCTGCTCTGTATGGATGAGCATTAAGTAGAACGCCAAGACTTCCCACCCCCCCCATTTGTTTAAAGGAGGGATTTGGTGTGACTTTTTGCCTCCCAAATTCTTCTTCCTCTTCTGTAGTTAGTGGTATGGTGGCACACAACACAGAAGGGTATTTAGTTTTGCTGTTTATTGACCCAAACATCTGTATGTCCCTTTAGATAGAAAGTCAAAAGACTAATATGAAATACAATTAAAGTTGTTTTATTAATATGACAAAAATGCCTCTCCCTGAAATCCACAAATGTATATTCAGAGTGGTGAGCCATAGACATTGGGTCAACCCAGAAATACAAGGATAGCAAATTGTTTTGTTTTAATGGTGACCTTTTTTTTCTGAACATCATTTCCAGTCAAGCAGTATTATTGTTTTTTAAGCAGTATTATTTTTTTTACAAAAATTACACATTAGTGACAGAACATTTTTATCTTTTATTCAGTTGCTACATCCTCCTATGCATTTTGGATGGTTCTACCTTTAAATCTGGGGCAAAAGGAGATTTCATGGTTCTGGTGAAAGCCAAACTGTTTTTCAGTAGGTTCTTGTCTCCTATTGTCCACTTAAGAAGATTATTGTAGATATCAATTCCTTAAATTATTTTCTGGATGCTGAGTTAATCCAATTTTTAGTGTTGTGGTGTCAGATCACAGAGTGATTATTCGGACTTTCAGATCTTATTACAGTTTTTCATACTTAATTGAGATTTGCGCAAATGCAACTAGCAATATAATTCAGGTTAAGGGGTTGCAAGAAAATGGTATGAAACAAAGGAAAGAGCTATTAAGCCATGAAAAGACATGGAGGAAACTTACATGCATATTACTAAGTGAAAGAAGCCAATCTGAAAAGGCTACATACTATATGATTCCAACTATCTGACATTCTGGGAAACGCAGAACTATGGAGACAGTAACAAGATCAGTGTTGCTAGGAGTGAGTAGAAAGGAATAAATCAGTGGAGCACGGAGGATTTTTAGGGCAGTGAAAATATTCTGTATGATACTATGATGATAGATACATGTCATACATTTATCCAAACCCATAGAATTTACAACACCAAGAGGAAACCCTAATGTGTACTATGGACTTTGGATGATTATGATATGTCAGTGAAGGTCCATCAGTTGTAAGAAATGTACCACTCTGGTAAGAGATGTTGGTGATAGAAGCTGTGCACGTTTTGGGGCAGGGCATATATGGGAATTCATGTACCTTCCTCTTAATTTTACTGTGAACCTAAACCTGCTCCTAGAAAAATGGTCTTTTTAAAAAATATTTTAAAAATGGCAGGAAAGTTTTGCATGTTTTTTGTTTCCCTTTCCCTTTTCCTAGATATTCATCAACCCTCATCTTGTCCTGGTAGAGATCTGGCCTTAGTATAATTTTGTTATTCCATTAAATTTTTTTCTGATATAAAAGCTACACATATTTATTGTAAAAATGTGGAAAAATACAAAGAAAAAATAAATATCACCTTATATTTACTCTCTTTGAAGAGATTCATTATGTGATATATGAAAAGATGTATTTCCTTGGACTCAAAAGGAATTATTTGTTTATTTATTTATTTTTAGACAGAACTCAGAGCAAATTGAAAACTTCAAATTCTGTTTAGAGAGGATAGAAAAGCATTGAGGTAAAATAGTTCTGAATATCATTATTTTGACATAGTAATAAAAAATATAATTCTAAATGTATTTGTCACTATTTCAAATGTCATTCAAGCCTTGTTTTTTCCATTTTTCTTGATAATATATTGAAAATCTGTAAAAGAGATTCTACAAAAGGGAATATTTTTTCATATTATGCTTTAATAATTTATAAAAGATGGTGATGTTTGCAATCCTGCCCAGAGAAGTCATCTCAGTGAAGCGATAGTTTAAAAATTTGTTATTCATAGTTTTCCCCTGAAGCTGGCTAAATCTGTATTGGTAATACTTAGAACCTCCTTTACCCTGACTTGAAGAGTCACCTCTGATAACCTTTCAAATGTTGGAAAATATTACAAGAAGTAAAAAGAGAAGAAAACACAACTGAATTTAAGAGGGAGTCTAGGAAGTTACCAAGTATCTAAGGATATGCAAAAATCATCTAAATTTCACAGTTCCTTTTTCTAAACTATACGGAAAGCACTTGTGTAGCATAACCCTCTCTGAGCCAGAATACAGATGGTTCTTCAGGATTTACAGTCTCCACGGACAAGTCTCTCTCTCCCCTGTTTCTTTTCTTTCCTGTTCTTGCCTGTCCTTATTATTCCTTTCCATATCTGCCTTCCTTTCATCTCTTAGCCCTCTTGTCTTATGCTCCTGTCCAACTGTCAGGGCTTTAGACAGACAGAGAAAATAGTGCTTTCAGGACACAGACCCAGAGACTCAGCTCGGAAAGGGCAGTGGGAGTGAAGCTCATTTCTGAGGCAACCAGGTAACCTAATTTGCCCTATTCCATGTGTTCACTATATTCTTTCCATAGAGACCATGCTCTCAAAATACTAGCCTTGAAATGAAAAACTAATGTGTTCCCTAGTGAAAAAGAGGTGATTTTCCCCCCTTTTAGACACCTGTACCTATTTTATATTATCAATGGCCTGTAAGATTATCGTCTCACCCCTCAAATTGCCATCACTTAGGTGCAACCGAGAAGGTTCTCAGGCAGTGCGCAGTTTTCAGAGTTCCTTGAAGAATACAGGAGGCATGGTGCCGAAAACATATGAAGGTCATTACCCCAAAAGGTTGAACATTCTAGGATATAGATTTAGATAAATTAATGGAGGACAGCTTGGTGACAGGTTTTTAAAGAAATAGTTTGGATGTGCAAATGATGTCTGAAGCTATTCTGAGAAACAGAATATTGGACAGGATGGACTCTAGGTCTAATCTTCCAAATGTCATTGGTAAGAAAGCTAGTCATTTATTAAACTGTGAGAATGCAAAGTGAAGTTTCTTAATTCTGAGTCAATGATGCACTTTTTTTTTGAAAAAGAAGGTATTTTCCTCCTCTATGCCTCAGTTTTCCTCTCTTTAAATTAGAAAAGCAATTTTAACTTACATCACAGTAGGGCTGTGAGGAAGAGGTAAAGAAATATAATCCAAAAGCAAGATGGCACTTTATAAAGCAGGAAGATAGTCTAGGAGTCCTCTAGCTGTATAGACCTCTCATTTTACAAATGAGAAAACAAAGCCTATTAGCCAAGGACCCATCTGCTAAGCCTAGATTTAGGTGTCTTGGGTCCCAGGACTAGATATTCTATCTAACGCACTATACCCGATAACATTGTGGTATTTCTGTAGTACTTGTTGTGTATGAAGCATGCCATAAGCATATAATCCTCATAGTAGTAACATTAAGTAGGCTTATTCTCATCAGAAAGGCTAAGTAAATTCCACCGGATTGTACAGCTAGTAGGTGGTAGAAGCAGTGTTTGAACCCAGGAAGTCTGGCTTCAGATTTAAGCTTTTTTTTTTTAATTTTATTTTATTATGTTATGTTAATCACCATACATTACATCATTAGTTTTTGATGTAGGGTTCCGTGATTCATTGTTTGCGTATAACATCCAGTGCTCCTTTCAATACGTGCCCTCTTTAATACCCATCACCAGGCTAACCCATCCCCCCACCCCCACCCCTCTGGAACCCTCAGGTTGTTTCTCAGAGTCCATAGTTTCTCATGGTTCGTCTCCCCCTCCGATTCTCCCCCTTCATTTTTCCCTTCCTACTATCTTCTTTTTTTTTTTAACATATAATGTATTATTTGTTTCAGAGGTACAGGTCTGTGATTCATCAGTCTTACACTATTCACAGCACTCACCATAGCACATACCCTCCCCAATGTCTATCACCCAGCCACCCCCTCCCTCCCACCCCCCACCACTCCAGCAACCCTCAGTTTGTTTCCTGAGATTAAGAATTCCTCATATCAGTGAGATCATATGATACATGTCTTTCTCTGATTGACTTATTTCGCTCACCATAACACCCTCCAGTTCCATCCACCTTGTTGCAAATGGCAATATTTAAGCTTTTAACCACTATACTATCCTGCTCCTTTTGTTATTAGGGAAAGGATCTGACTGAACCAAGCCTCCTTAGAGTTGAATTCCAATTTTTCTCTTAAAGATAAAAAGGGATTAGAATGAAACATTAAGGGCGCCTGGGTGGCTCAGTTGGTTAAAGCGACTGCCTTCGGCTCAGGTCATGATCCTGGAGTTCCGGGATCAAGTCCTGCATCGGGCTCCCTGCTCAGCGGGGAGTCTGCTTCTCCCTCTGACCCTCCCTCCTCTCATGTGCTCTCTCTCTCTCTCATTCTCTCTCTCAAATAAATAAATAAAATCTTAAAAAAAAATTTTTAGAATGAAAACATTAAACATTAAAATAAGTGTGCTAAAACCTGTAGACAGGTTGTGACGAGGACCAGGTGTCCTTGTTCTTCCCTTGGCTCGAGCAGGTCTTCAGGCTTTTGAGTTCCTTCATCTAAAAAGAAGGTCGCAGGTCCTTCTGGTAACTTTGTGGAGAGCCATGGTATTAGAAGAGTGGCACGATGAAGGTGATTAAGTAAAACTAAATTAAGAGAAAATTACTAGAAAATGCAGACCAAATGGTCCAAGTCGTTGAGTAACATTAGGCAGGACCTCATGGTAGAACTAATCTAGTCACCTCATGGTGCAATGCAGACTTCGGGTAGTTCCTTTTGCAACTGAGAAAGGGCTGTCTTTAGCTGGGGCCCTCCATTTTTCCCTGGGAGCTCCATATCTGTTGATAAAGTGACATCCCATGCCCGCAATAAAAGAAATTGCCATTATCTCCAGCACTGATTATTTTCTGCATTTAGGCAACAGAATTCTTCCAGCAGGAAATGCTTACGGTGTTATGAAGACAAAGTGTTGTTTTTGCAACTTGTATAACTACCAGTTTTTGTTTCTTGATTGATGTTTCTGTGGATGTGAACAAACCACACAGCTTTCTTTAAGACAAGACAATTTACTGATTATGATTTTTTTGAAACAATGAGTTATACTTAGGTGTTACTGCAGAGGTGGCTACTGTTTTCTTCAAACATTGAAATAGTCTCTTTTTTCTGATCAATGGAGAAATGGTCATCCTGTGTTGCACCAAATCTTATAGAACAGTCTAAACTGAGGAGTAACATGAGGAAATTTCATCTAAAAAAATTGTATTGAAAGGAGAGCTTTATATGGAAACAGACATGAATTTAATACTTCTGGATGCTATAATAAAATATTTCATTAGTCTTTCAGGAATGGAAGGCAGATGGATATTTAACTGACACTCTGCCTAGAAACCAGAGACTGAACATTTTATTAATTTTATCAGTTGGATGGTACCAACTTGAATGGAAACCAAGGATTGAAGTTTTTATTCATTTTATCTATTCTTTTATGAGGGGAAAGGATTAACTGTAACTGTTCCTTATCTGAATTTCTGATATCTGAAATGGAAACTTTTCTAGTCTGTGTAGCCTTTAAACAGTCTTCCTTTATTTTAGTTGGTGACGTGATTTTTTTGCCCATCAAATCAATTATTTATTTAAAGGAAAGAATTCAAATCCTTCATGTCTTTTTTTTTTTTTTTAAGTAGGATTTTTGGAAGCCTGGAAATTCTGCCATGCTAGGTATTACTTGGTTATTAGACACGTATAGTATCTCAGGCCATATTGAAATGGGGAACTCTATTTTCCTCAAGTGTGCCAAATTAGACTATCATCCGGTTAACTTTTTATTTATTTATTTGTCAGAAAGAGAGAGAGAGCACAAGCAGGGAGAATGGCAGGCAGAGGGAAAGAGAGAAGCAGACTCCCCACTGAGCAGGGAGCCTGATGCGGCTTCGATCCGAGGACCCTGGGATCATGACCTGACCGAAGGCAGACGCTTAACTGACTGAGCCACGGAGGAATCCCCCGGTTAACCTTCTTAATGGGCTAAAATTTTAGTGAAAGCCGTAGAAGTAGAACTGGGGTTTCTGAAAGTAAGATACTTTCCCAACAGACGGTCATTGATACCTTAACTGGAACCAAAGGGCTAGAAATAGAACTCCATTCAGAAGGTAACAGAGAATGTTGCCAAGTGACTTCCTTATCCCAGTCCATGGCACTATATAAGTATGCTAATGAAATTAAAGATTCACAGATTATTTTTAGCAAGGTGTTAGTTCCACTGGCCTGGAAATTTTCTCTCAGGTATTGATACTCTGCAACCCCTGAGAATTCAATTACGTATAATCAGACATTTCTCTCCTTCCAGTTCTGCAGGACATGATAACCTTCAGACAAACAAGAAAAAATACCTCCTCTCTCTGTTGGTACCTGTCCATCTCTTTACATTCACTAGAAACCAGTCATTCTCAAACATAAATGTGTATCACAAACACATGGAGAGTGTGTTTACATAGATTGTTGAACCCTTTCTTCAGTTTCTAGATAGGAACAACTGAAATGGGGTCTGAAAATACATTCCTAATACATGTCCAGGTGCTGTTGATGCTGCTGGTTATAGGACTACACTTTGAGAAGCTATGTCTCCAACAAGGCAAGGGAGAGTAGAAACTGAACAAGTTATTTTCATGTATAGTCAATCTTCTATGTCAGATCGCCACTTTAGAAAAATTACCATTTAAACCAATTTTCACTACAGAAATGGTTTTGTTTTTGGCTTTAAGGAAACTGTTGTTTATATAAGAGAGATGCAGCTCTTTTTGATCCTTTTGGTCTGTCAGCATTAGCATTTATCCAACATCTCTTAATACAAACCAGTAACAAATGTGCATACCATTTTCAGAGCTGTATCCTATGGGTGGGCGGATTGCAGAAGGTACCAGCTGAGATTGTGAGTGTGGGCAAATCCTGTCTGGGTCTAACTCAGCAAGACTTGCATCCATGTAGGAACAGCAGCTTCTACCCAGAAGAAGGGACCCCTTTTTGTAATTCACAAAAACCCTAAACACTTTCCATTGAATTAAAGCAAATTCCTTGAGTTAAACTTTAAACCTCTTGTTCTTAGAATGACTATCGGAAGCTCTCCATGCAATGCAAAGACTTTGTAGTGGGTGTGTTGGATCTTTGCCGAGACTCAGAAGAAGTAGAAGCTATTCTGAATGGAGATCTGGAATCCGCAGAGCCCCTAGAGCTACACAGGCATAAAGCTTCACTGAGTCGTGTCAAGCTTGCTATTAAATATGAAGTAAAAAAGGTGAGTGGCTCACTTTTATCCAGCGCCATATTGGAATAAATATGTAATATCAACTATGCCATAATCCCAGAAAAGTTTTTTAAATAATAAAGATGTTATTGATAAAAGTTTTTTTTCCTTCATGAAAGAGACTAAGTGAAATATGGTAAAGTTGTGAGTCAAATATCTAGCTTCTGCAGTCCTTTCCACTTTTTGTCTGCTGTGAGAGAGACCTTGGATAAGTCATAAAAGTTCTTTTGGGCGCCTGGGTGGCTCAGTTGATTAAGCAACTGCCTTCGGCTCAGATCATGATCCTGAAGTCCCGGGATCGAGTCCTGCAGCCGCCTCCTGGCTCAGCAGGGAGTCTGCTCCTCCCTCTGACCCTCTCCCCGCTCTCTCAAATAAATAAATAAAATCTTAAAAAAAAAGTCATAAAATTTCTTTAAACTTCAGTTTCCTCATGTAGAAGAAGAATAATATCTCTTATCCATCTCAGAGAATATGATTTCAGTGGATTAAGATATGCAAAAGAACTTTGTGAACTCATTATAATGCAAGTAAAAATAAAATGTTACTTGTATACATTTTTGTAAATCACTGTTACAACTGTCCTTTTAATCCTTGTGACAAGCCTATGTTATTATCCATTTCACCTATAAAATAGGTAAAATAGATGATGACATTTCTACTCTAAAAAGGAAACTGAGGTTTGCCAAGCTTAAATAATATGTCTAAGTCACAGAGCTGTGGATACCAGAAATAAAATTTATGATTACTTTTTTACTCTGTTTATTGCAGATAAACTGTTAAGTGTATGTATTTGCTGCTTGTATGGGGCTTTTAACTAATTCTTGAAAATTGTAGTTATGATGTTTTACTATAATAAAAATCTCAATTAACTACAACCTAGCAGCATTTATATGTTAGATAACTGATATTTTTTTGTATTCTAAGAGAAAATGATAAGTCACCAAGAAGTAAGCTGTTTTCAGGAACAGATCTAGTTTCATGAACTGGTCACTCTCTGTATAGCTGAATTTTCTCTCTTCCCTGCATGGTGCTTAAGAGGGCAGGGAGCCAGCTTGCTGGGGTTCAAGTCCTGAGTTAACCACGTGTTCCCTGTGTGGCCACGGGCAAGTCACCCAACCAGGCCAAGCCCCAGTCGGCTCAGTTAGTAAAGTAGGGACCACAAACTGCTTTTTCAGTTGTTTATAAGATTATAAGAGCTAACACATGTAAAGTAATTAGCACAGGTCTAGTACATGGTGATTGTTCAACATGTAGTAGCTAATAAGATTTCTACATTATGAAAATTCATTCTCAAAATGATGACTCTCAAACAAGTTCAGCTTTTAGTCCTCAAACACAGATTTCATGTTCATTGTGTTGGCTCCAGTCCTCAGTAATAGACTACAGCCATTTCAGGCAGAAAGGAATTTAGTAAGGGATCTGAGGAGACTCACAGAATCGTTAGGAGAGGTGGAAGAACAAGTATATCTAAGTTGTGCCTCCAGAAACCTTACTCAGAACCAGACCCAGAACGGAGACCTGTGCATATGCCTCTGCCCCGTGGAACAGAGGCAAGCGTGGGCCCTAGCAGCAAGTGAGCATGAGGGGGACTTCCTCTCTTTCGTCTTCTCCCCTTGTGTGCGTGCACGTGCACACCCCCCACACACAAATTCTACCACAATCTAGAGAGCTTTCACATATAGTATTCACAAGGTTTTAGCCAACTATTAATCACAGATCTCCCCTCAACTTAAAAAGACAGGCAAATGTGAAGATTCTTAGTAAATACTGATGTAAAATAACTTTTCAAGGAATCATTTAAAAATAAATTGGCTCAACTGCCTTCCTCTCAGAGCAGTCTTTTTTTTTTAAGTTTTTATTTTTTAATTCCAGTTAACATACAGTGTAATGTTAGTTTCAGGTGTACAATAAAGTGATTCCACACTTCCATACAACCCCCGGTGCTCATCACAAGTGCGCTCCTTAATCCCCATCCTCTACTTCCCCCTTCCTCCCCTCTGGTAACCATTAGTTTGTTCTCTATAGTTAAGAGTCTGTTTCTTGGTTTGCCTCTCCCTCTCTCTTTTTTTCCCTTTGCTTGCTTGCTTTGTTTCTTCAGTTCCACATAGGAGTGAAATCATATGGTATTTGGCTTTCTCTAGAGCATTCTTGCTAGTTGAGGTTTTGCTATATTAAAGGAGAAAAGATCATTTTGAATAACATTATTATTAAACCATTTTTAGAAATCTGTCTGGACATTTATTCACAGATCTTGCAATACACACCTCTTTTCTTTAGCTCCTGAGAGAAGTGAATTGATTTCAGTTGTCACCGGTTCTTTACCGTTACTTTGAAAGTGTCATGTTAGCAGAGGCAGCTCATTATAGATGTGCTTCTGTTGACCAAACTGTCTTGAGACCGTGAATATCTTCCTGGCATGTTAATTTTAAATAAATTGATGTATAGCTTACAACGTATGAGGTGTCATTAATAATAAATTTGTTTTCAGTCAACTAACTGCCAGGAAAAAACAATATATTTGAAACTGAAAGGAGATTTAGGGCTCTGCATGTATTTCTGGGTTGGTTTGTTTTATGCTCTAAAAGGAGTATTAGTTAAAGTATTTGATTTGGAAGCTTCATTCAATGTATATAAAAACTTTATCCTAGCATGCCCAAAAAAGCCCAGAGACTTCCTTCATTCTCCACTCAACATTCACATGTCTCCATCTAGCAAGGAGGAAAGATGCCCCATCCCTTCTGGTGCTTCCTTTTTCCTTCATCTCATTTCTAGTCCCGAAGTGAAACCACTTCTTGGCTTACAGTGATGCGTGAACCCTATCCCCTGTGGCACTGAGGTAGTCCACAGCTACATGCGAGGCATTGGGATTTCAAAATATATGTTATGGAATTTTTTCCTCCTGATAACATAATAAACTTATATTTATTCAAATCAACTCATAATTCCACCAAGGAAACCAGTTTTGTGTAACGGTAAGCTGTTACCCACAAGAGGCTCAGGAAGTCTCTTCTGCCATGTGCCTAAGATGTACCCCCAGCTCTGGTTATGAGACTCCCAGCTTCCTGTCTGGCCTCACAGTCCTCAGAGCTCAGGTCTTCCCTAGGAATCACACCATGAGTCCTAGTCAGGCCTTACAGAGCTCAGCGGCAATTAGTCAAGAAAATGAAAATATGGAAGACCTGAATAGGAGAGATCTGAACATGATTCTTTTTTTTTTTAAGAGAGCGAGAGAGAGAAAGGGAGTACACACCAGTGTGCACACATGGGAGAGGGTCAGAGAGAGAAGGAGAAAGAACCCTAAGCAAGCTCCGCACCCAGCATGTGGGGCTTGATCTCATGACCCTGAGATCATGACCTGAGCCGAAATCAAGAGTCAGATGCCCAACTGACTGAGCCACCCAGGTGCCCTGATTTCTATGTGAATTTAATGTTTATGTGAGAAAGAATTTTCTAATACAAAAGTAGTCAAGAAATAACAAAGCAAAAAGGTAAATAATCTGACAACATACAACTTAAAACTTCTGTACACAGAAAGATCATAAACAAAAAAGTAAAGGGCAATGTGAGAAAGGTATAATTTCTCAATTCTAACATACAAAAAATTGATATTCTTAATGTCCAAAGAGCTCAAACAAATTTTTAAGAAAAATTTCTAGAGCTCTGCAGAATAAGCAAAGGGCTTGAATGGGCAACTCACAGAAAATTCAAATGGCTAACATATTTAAAATTATCAAACCCTCTAGTACTAAAATAAATGCATCCTAATATGCAAATAACATTTCCTGTCTCTCAAATTTTTAAGGAATAAAAAATATTCTCAATGCTGTTGGTGTAATGGGCAATCTTACGCTCCTACTGAGGAACAAACGATAATGTGTTCTCTATCAGGGCGTGGATGTTTTAGATTATTCATCCCAGAATCATTTCTGAGGAGTCTCAAAGGTAAATAATAAAACTGGAAAGATAGTAAATATTATTACTGTTTGCAGAGTTACCCATGCTTTTCTACAAGAGAATGGAATAGATTGAAAGATGAAATTTGGTTTTTTTGAAAGAGTACAAGAAGATTAAGTTTTAGGCAAAAACATCAATTATTTTCCAGTTAGAATAATCGATTATTTACTTCCCCCCAAAAGCTCTGAGTTTTAATTCTGCCTGTACCTCTGCCTTCTCTGCGACTTGAGGATGAACATCAATCCCTTCTCCCCCATAGAAATAATGAGAGCTTCATCTGCTTCTAGTAAGTAAGCTCTGTCTATTCTAAGAAAGTCCTTGACAAAGATAAAAGATACTAGAAGTTGATAGATCATCGAATGTGGAAAACTGGGCTCTTGAGAAAAGAGAGAATTTCCTAGGTTCTTCCTCTTTGTTCTCTTATTTCTTCCATGGTGAGATTAGATTTAACTATAGAAATATCTAGAAAAGAGACATGCAGCAATATATTCACATAAAATTACCCATTGTGTATGAAGAAATTGTGCTTTCCCTAATTCCAAAAATTGAGCAATGCAATGTGAGTGGTAAATATACTGCAGAGACCTTGGGCAGCGTGCATGTGCTGGCTGGTGAGGTCCTGAGTCCTACAACTGGGCAGCCTCTTGGCCAGGTTCGGGCCCTGCACCAAGAAAGAACAGAATATTTTGCACTCTGGGTTCGAAATCCAGCAAACTTATACAATGTAAGTTTTCAGTTTATACTTCACAACTCAGAACTTTAAAAAGAAGCTGAATGAAGTAGCTTTTATTCATAGCAGTATTTTAAATGGTATGAGCTGTGCCTCCAACCATGTCATTAAAAACACAGGGGCGCCTGGGTGGCTCAGTCATTAAGCGTCTGCCTTCAGCTCAGGTCACGATCCCAGGATCCTGGGATTGAGCCCCACATCAGGCTCCCTGCTCAGCGGGAAGCCTGCTTCTCCCTCTCCCACTCCCCCTGCTTGTGTTCCCTCTCTCGCATGTATCTCTCTGTCAAATAAATAAAATCTTTAAAACAAAACAAAAAAAAACAAACACAGAGTGTTCCTACCATGTTTTTGTACAACAGTAGTCCCATGAAGATAGTTCTTGTAAGACAGTGTAACGTGAATTTTTTTTAAGTTGAAAATTATCTCATTGTTTTCCATTAACCTGCCCTGATCAGCGGTTCTGTTTACAGTCTGTTAGTCATTTGGCAGGAAAAAAAAATGTTTGTTCTCAGTGCTACGGTAGTATTTTTTCCATTGAAAGATTGAGATTTTCGGGGCGCCTGGGTGGCTCAGTCGTTAAGCGTCTGCCTTCGGCTCAGGTCGTGATCCCAGAGTCCTGGGATTGAGCCCCGCATCGGGCTCCCTGCTCTGTGGGAAGCCTGCTTCTCCCTCTCCCTCTGCCTGCCACTCCCCCTGTTTGTGGTCCCTCTCTCGCTGTGTCTCTCTCTGTCAAATAAATAAAATCTTTAAAAAAAAGAAAGATTGAGATTTTCTTGTGG